GGAACCCGCCCGGAGCCGTACCGTGCCGTACCATGCAGTGGAAAAGCGCCATTTGTTTATACCAGCCAGAATCCTCTAAATACCATGATAAATCATGGATTCTGTCTTATCTAATCTGCTTGCTTGGTTTTAACCTCTTCCATTAAAGATGCTTCCTACTATGGGCCTGGAAAACATACTCTTCTACATGCAAACATTTGCTAAAGGAAGTTCTGAAATCTGGATCTGAGGCTCTCTGTCGGCCAGACACTGCCATAAATCACTGCACTTCAAACCCCTTCTTTGACCGCACCGCCAGGAAAGTTCGCCCCGAGAGTCACGCTCCTTCTAAACACGCCAAACGAGAGTGGTTTGGTCTGATTAATTGAAGTCCTGTGGGGATGATAGCGGCTGAAGAATGAACCAAAGACCCAAAGAGCCCCAAAAAGACTTTCTACACACATACATTCCTCCAGATGGGAAGAGAAAGAATCTTAGCACAGTTTCACCAAAGGCACACATCACAGTTAAATTTAATTAGGAATTTTAGAAGCAATCAATGACATATTTAATGAAATAATTGAATTAAAACTATTTAATGAAACAAAGTACATCAAGAAAAGTTTATTTCATGTTCAGTCTTAAAAATATATACTGCATGCTTCAATGGTTCTTTGCTTCACCATCATTCCGTAATTTTTGTACTCCATTGGTTGCTGTATAGTGTTCTTGTGTTGGCTGCTTGGTTCTTTAGAGGTTAAAAATATTGATGTTACATTATAGGTACTTCAGATCTCTTTCTGGGTCTCTTTCAAATTAACTTGAGGGACGTTACCTTGCGTTACAGGTATTTAATTTAAATACCAACTTTCTCTCATCATTTTCTCCAAAAATGAAACAGAAGCAACTGATATAAAAAAAAAAAACAGAGTGTAGTAGATACATAGCTCAGATCATTTGGTTCACATGAGTTCATGCTTTTAGCCATTTGATTACAGTTTATCTTGACAAATCTGATCCCAATTTGAGACATTTTTGAGATTTCTTACAAAGAGTGTGATATTGAAGGCCTTATTCTTAGGGTAAAGTTCTGAGAAGCAGAAAACTTTAGCAAAAGTCCCATTTTGTTCTCCATTCAGTTTCATTGTTGTCCTTAAATGAGGATATCTCCTGTGTAATTTTTCTTGCTTGAGAGAAAAAAAGTAAAAGAAAATGTTATTTGTAAACCTAATAAGGTTCTTTTTGGCATCAGGCTGTAAAACCTTTTTTGGTTCTAACTGGATTGTAGACATGATGAAAATATCCCGCTGTGAAAGGGAGACTATACAGCTCATTTAGAGCTGATGTGAGATCAGTTGTTGATGTAGCGGCGGAGGAAGAGTTCAGGGAGGTCTGAGCGGGACTATGCTCTGAGGACTCGAGGAGGAAGTAGACCAGTGACTACAGTGTGATTGATGAAACGAGCTCACCTAACTGCATGCATTAGCTCTCTCTAAACCTGCCCCCTCACCCCCTCACCCCCTGGCCCTGTCCCTGCCCTCTATCCCCTCAGAGACCTCCAGAAAACAAAGCCATGTGATGTTCTGATTAATGTAGACTTCACTCACAGTCTGCAAAGTGAAGCAGCTTTTGAATTTTATTTGTGTATCATGTGATTTGCTTTTTGGGGGGAGGACATTTTATAGTTTGTAAATGTCTTTTGTTTCATTCCAAAAACCTGCCTCCAGATCAAAGACGTGGTCCAAATGCAAAGACTTTGGTAGGCAGTTTAATGCTGCCTACTAAGAAACCTTCTTTCGGCCAAATTTGGCCAAATTCAAAAGCCACACAAAATTAACTTGATGAAAAATGGAAGGGTGGTGTAATCTTTTATCTCTTGCAAAATATTATTTTAACAAAACACCTGCTTCCGCACTCGTGACAAACCAGCTAGAGCCTTTGGATCTTATTATCTTCACATTGTGAACAGAATAAGAGGTTTTAAGATCTCAGGTTCGCACACAAACATACATGTGTGTCTTTTATTATGTCTGTGTCTACAGTGCATCCTGTATTTTGTAAGGTGAAAACCATATGTAATTAGCTAAGGCTAGATCCTGTCAAAATGAGACAGAGACTTGTTGGATCAAAGACCATCCTTGTAGAATATTTTTATTAAGTCAGCATCAGTATTATTAATTAATTTAATTTAAAAAAAAGTCAGGCTGGTATAATCTTTTATTATCTCTTAGAAAAAAAATCATTAAAAAAAAACTGCTTCACTGCTTATTGGTATTAGAAAAACCTTTGTCTGCAAAATCCAAGTAATGTGGTGCTGAACTAACATTCAGAAACATGCAGAAATTAAATCATAAAACAGAAAATTATATCATAGAGTGGACCCTTGCATATCTGTCAGGATCAATTAGTCTCTTAAAATACTAAATCATTTGACCTGTTAAGGCCATTTGTTCAGCTTAGTTCAGATTGTAAAATGTCATGTGGTGCAACTCGCCAAAAACTGTACATTTATGAATAAATTATTCATATTTGTGAAAATACTTTTATCTTTGAAAACAAACACTCGTGTATTTAAGATGTAAGGAAAATATATTCGTTTTTACTTGATATTTACACCACATGACATGCTTTTTATTATTTTGTGTCATTCTTGCATCATCTGTATTTTTATAAAGCATGAGTCGCTGCTGCCTATGTAGAATGTTTCAAATCTGTCAGTTATGAGATTCTATCTTAGTATGAATGTAGGCAAGTTTTGGCACAGACCTTTTGTATATAGGGTTTTGTTGACCCTGTGCGTTTCTTTTGATTTCATCTTGTCTTTGTTTCACTTTGATATTCTGCTAAATTGGATGAAGCACGCTGGTATGGCTTCTTATAGTGTGATCAGTTGATTTGAGTTTGCTGTGTTATGTTCTGTAGTGAAGGGGGCTGCTTTGATGGCGTAGAGAATGGAGGATGGAGCAGGTGTGTCAACCGCACTGGTGACAAACCATTAGAGTCTCTCGGCTGGAGCCGTTAGATCTTATTCATGTAATCTTCACACTGTGGACAGAAAAAGAGGATCTGAAGAACTCAAGTTCGCATACACACGTGTGTGTTTTGCTGTTTCTCTCTACAATACTTCCTGTTTTCTTGAAAGGTGAAAACCACATAGTTAGCTAAGGCTGGATCCTTTTAAAATGAGCTGCAAGGCTTCATATCATTATCAGTAAGTAAAAAGCCATATTTAATATCAGAAAAATAAAAATTACCTCACTTTTTAAGCAAAACCACTGTGTTTTACAGAAGAAAGTCATATATGTGACTTTGGGGTGAATAAATTGGCTTGAGGGTGAATAAATGATGACAGAATTGTAATTTTCGGGTGAACGTTCCTTTTAAGTGTCCAAATGCTTTTTAGTACCACTGTATTCGTCTGCACATGAAGTCACAGATCCACTGAAGTAACTGCAGTTTTTGCATCTCGAGTCATACCTTCCTGCAGGTGCTCAATTTGTGTCTAAATTGCCCCAGCCAGCAAACTCATTTCAGAAGAGCTGGGCTGAAGCCAGACCATGTGAAAACCCTTAATGAAGTGGCTTTCTCTCTCTGAAGCCCTATCAGTCTCTGCTCATCCACTTCCACTTGGTCATTCCAGTCAGTACGGCCTTTAGCTCCAAGTCCCCCTCAACCAATCCCATCCTGTCACATACAACGTAAGATATATCCACTATGAGTGACAGGAGCTACTAGCAATTTATTTTTCGAGTTTTGTGTTAAAAGATCTTACGTTCTCAATCTTCAGCCTGTCATTGTGATAACTTTGGCAGTTTTGTGGATCTCAAGTAAGTTGTTTGTTTTTATTTCCTCAGATTCTTGCATGGTGAATACACAGTGGAGGTGGCCATCAATGACTACCTGGACATCTACTGTCCACACTATGAGGACCATCATCCACAGGAGCGCATGGAACGCTACATCCTTTTCATGGTCAACTATGATGGCTACACTACCTGCAACCACCACATGAAAGGCTTCAAGCGCTGGGAATGCAACCGCCCAATGAGTCCGAATGGGCCCCTCAAGTTCTCAGAGAAGTTCCAGCTGTTCACACCCTTCTCTCTGGGCTTCGAGTTCCGCCCAGGCCATGAATACTACTACATCTGTGAGTAACCTTCTCCTTTCTTACTCTCAATCTTCAACTTCGAACCCCTCGTCTGCGTTTTCTTGTGACCAGGTGTCAGTATGGCCCCAGGGTGCAATCATTCACTGAACTGATGGTTGTTGGGTTACAGGAATTGGGGTGTAGAGGGCAAAGGAAGACTTGATAAGGACGCGCAGACTTCACAACAACATCTGATCAATAACGTGCCACACAGTTCAGTCTGCTGAAACCTGTTATGTGGTCTCTAGAGACATATGGCTGAATGAACAAATAAAATACGTGCCAGTCAATCATTGGTTAATGCTATAACGATATAGTTTAGGAAACGAATGCAAAGTGTAACTGAAACTTGAAATTACAGGTTACACATCTTGAATTTACATAAAACAAATTTGCTATGCACAATGTTGTATACGATGCAGTGACTCATCTACAGTATCCGGGTTTTACTAGAGTACACAAATAGTAACATAAGTTCCCTGATTTGACATCGCAAGAATAACACTCAAATTTTTCTTTGTGTTGTTATTTCCCTGGTGTTGGTTTCTAAAGGAAGATTTTTTCAGGTTTGATGAAGATTGAAGGAATGGGTCTCACACATCAGCAGAAGTTAAAGGGATAGTTCACCTAAAAAAAATAAAAATTGTCATCACCTTCTTATAATTCCAAACCTGTATGACTTTTTCTTCAGTGGAACATAAAAGAGAAATTTAGCAGAATGTTCATGTTCATGGGGACCGAGGGCTGTTAAGTTCTAAAAATAACTAAAAGCACCATAATTATTGTATTTTTATGTAAAAAATAAAATAAAATACAGCATTGCTGTGCAACTTTAAAATATATATGTAGTCATTTATAAAGCTTGATAGCCCCTGGTCACCATCCACTTTCATTGTATGTAGTACGTCTCCTTTTGTGTTCCAAACAAAGTCATACAGATTTGGAATGAGATGAGAATGAGATTAAATGGTTTTAATCTATGGCATGCATATGTATACATACAGTTTTGTTATATTTTCACCAAATTTCCACAGACAATATCAAATCCACCATGCATTACCAAGAACTAGTCAATCTTTTTTTGACTCAAACTCTTGTTCATGTGTCCACGTTGACATACGCAACATTTCTGCACCGTAGGAAGTGTTCTTCAGAAGGCTGTTGTCTATGTTGCATTTTGGTATGGCATGCCAGGTGGACATCTCTTTTTCCAGTGGCAGCCACTGTAAACATATCAAAATGGTTTAAAAATCCGTTATTACTGTCATTTAAATGTCTGTTGCTTTAGTTGAAGTCACATTTGGTGCAATTGGAGCTGGAGACATTTATTATAGCGATTTGAATGTCTAGGAGTTTAATCAGAGTCGTCGAGGCAGAAAGGCCAGTTCTACTGAACTCCCTTGGGAGCAGAGTTTGGCAGTGTCCTGATGCATCTGCCTGATGAAAATGTCAATTTGTTGAATGGCATGTGCACTATTAGCTGTGCACTTTGCCGCTCTGGGTGAGATCGGTGCAAAACCAGTTACCAAGGCCATCATGCGTAACTGTCCAAATTATGCTGATTGGTCAAATCATATTTAACAGAAGGATCCTGATGGGGGTAATTGCATCCACAGCTTCTGGGGTGCCAGCCATTACCATTTTTCAGATAACAACAGGTAAAAGCCATTAACCTGGAGGGGGAGTTTTTGGCTCGGGATGGTGCCCGGACGACAGTCCTGACACCTCGTCCTCCGGAGGCGGCCCGCCCACCGCCTCAAGGTCAGCCCTTCGCCTGGCTGGACGAATCGAGTGGGGTTCTGCTTTATCCTCTTCTTTCGCTCTCTCTTGCTTGACAGGGAGGAATTTGCCGAGGTGCATCTGGTCCTGTTTCACTAATGGTCTTGTGAAAGGTGTCCTTTGGCCTGATAAAAAGGGCTCCCGCTGGGCACAGGCAAAAGGAAAAGGCTCAGGGCAGCACGCAGGATGCATTAATGAGGCAATTTCTCCTCTTTTTTGTTTTTTTCCCCCCTTTTTATTCTCACTTATGCTTTTTTTCTGTATGTGTGTGTTTATTCCAACTTTTAGAAGAGAGAAGGGACTTTGAGAGCAAAGTTTTCATGTGATAAAAGAATGCAGCTTTTTATCCTAAACGAATGCAGCTCATTAAGTAGAACAGCATGATTTTTACCGCTCACCATGCTTGCAGTGTCCCGGGTTGCCTTAGAACTGGCCCTGCGCCCTCAGCGCTCGGCAGTTCAGAGGTTTGGGGCTCAAGGGGACCCAATCTGTAGCTCTGCTCATGACTATAAACCTCCCATTGTGTGTCGGGACACCTGATCCTAAAAGCATAGTCACACAAATTGCTCTTTTGAAAGCTAAAAGCACATTTGTCCTAATAATCGCTGAAGAGTCATTTCTAATGGTCATGGCCATCTGTTGTATATAACAGCCAAAGATTTAGAGGCCAGAAATACTAAACAGGTTTTAAGGTTAGGTATGAAAATCTGAGGGCTTTCTGTGCTTAAAGGAGTAGGTTTACCCTTTACCACTCTAAAAATGGATTGTTGACAATGCTAACTTTTATCAACGCGTTATGGTCTTAATGAGATAGCTCACCTAAAAATGAAAATGTTATTCTAAACATAACTATTTTACTTGGCAAATTGGTGGTGAATTCGTACAATTTGAGTCATGTGAAAGAATATGATTTTTAGAACAAATAAAAATGAATAAACATGAAGGTCTGACCCATATCCCACTTATAAAACAAACTCTGAGTTGGATGTAAGCAGATTGTACAAAAAGGTACAAATGTGATACAAATTTGTCAACAGTTCACCAAAATGGAGAATAGTTATGAATTGCTGTGATGTTGTGTTGTCCAAACCTTTCTGACTTTTTGCTTCAGTAGAACAAGAAATACTGTAAAAGCAGAAAATTACAATAGAAGAATGTTCATTCTGCTCTTTTCCATACAGTAAAGGTATGAAGCAGGACAGACACTGTGAAGCTCCAAAAAGGACAACAAAAAGCACCATAAAGTATAAATCTCATGCACATTTAAATATGGAACATCAAGAATCATCAAACCAGGTTTGAAATTGCCATTGGCTCTTAAATGTCTTGTAACCAATCACATCAACGCAAGTTTGAAGGGGGGAGCGGAGTCAAAAGTAACAGGTTTTTATATTATATTATTTTATTTTATTTTTATATTAATTTAAACAATTATTATCAAATAATTATATTCATTTAGTAACATAATATATCTTAGTGTAGGCTATATATTTAGAGTTTTATAATTCATTATATTCTTGTCGATCCACCAGTTCACATTTACAACTGCGTGTTTTCTGCGTAAAAATAAGGGTCGTTTTTGGCTTATTTAAAAATTCAAATTCATTCTCTGCCAGCAGGTGGTGCTTTTCGCCAGGAATATAGCCGTTTCCCCGGTAACCGCAGTAAACAAAGCAGCGCAGCACCTGACTTTGCTCTCATATTTAATCAGTTAAATAGCCTTTTGAAGTGTAAGCTACAGTATATCTCACTATACATGTAAATATACATTTACATGTGTAACCCTCTTCGTCGGTGTGCTCCCCCAAATGTCTCTGCCTTGTGTTGAGGTGAGGGGTAAATGAGGAGGACACCAAAATCGTCGAGTCAAAAACAGCAGCTTTCTTTTATTAGGCTCCTTTCTCCACACAGTCACTCTCACAGCATGACAGGATGGCAACAGCCTTTCACAAAGGAAATAGAACTGTGTTCATTTCAAATAACCTCAAAATTACAATACATAACGCATTATAAAAGGAAATAATGAAGTTGAGACTGCAGCTAACTTAATAGTAAGCTCATCGTTCACAAACTTACTAAAACACAGGAAAGATAAACTACAGCATATGACAGACAAAGATAAACACTGGATGTAATCAAAATAAGGAGAATTAGACCATAAAATACACAAATAGACCTTAAACATAACATAACATACATGAAAATTATGCTCAGCCACATGGAACATAGGAACGTGCAATAATATCAGAAATACAAAACAATCTATCAAAAATAATGTCTGATACACATTATCCAACCTATCATCAACAATATATTTCTTCTAATAACATGGATGGCTAATATAATTAGATCAATTTAATGGATGTAGTGGAGCAAACTGATAAACCCTCCTTACCTTTCACAAAGGAAATAGAACTGTGAGTGAAAAGAAGGGCTCACTCCTCTAATGAGAACACAACGCACAGCTCCCCCCAAAGGCCGGGAGAACACATTACATCTTCCCTACATCTATATATATATATATAGAGAGAGAGAGAGAGAGAGAGAGAGAGAGA